GGATGGGTGTGTCAGAGGCGGTGCGGTTGGCGCAGGATAGAGCAGGGTTTAGGGCTGTTGTGCATAGGGTCGCTATGAGTCGGAAACGTCTCGATGGCTCATAACAACAACAACAACAACAACAACAACAACAACAATTTAAATGTATGGTACTTTAATTTTTGAAAAATGTATTTTCTTGATGTTGTTATGCACTGTCAAATTGTCTATGACTCATAGTGACCCTATGAACACTGGAACCTTACTTTGTCCTGAGTCAGCCTCCCCTTCTCCAACACACTTGATCCTATTGCTACAATCATGTGCCAATCCATCTCATCCAGGGTTGTCTTCTCTTGCACTGATGCTCCTATCCAAGCATGATGTCCTTCTCCAAGAACATTTACATGAAATAATAAAGGAAAATATTTTCCAAAATTGAAAAGAAACCCATGATAGATAGACTAACAAATCTATTTCAAGATTTTAATATTCATCACAGTATGAAGCCAAGTAAATACACTTGCTGAGAGAGGCCCTGAAGAATCAAGGTTCTATCTACTCACATCTGTGCCAGCAGCTGATTTCCTTCTGAATTGCCTTCTTGGGATTCACTGGAGGTTCATTTGTCTTAATTTTTAATCACATTGAGTTAAAGCTGTTTACAATTTTAAAACACACCTTGAGTTTTGGAAGTCCCCTGTTTATATTACATTTGTCAATTACTTTAACATAAAATCGAGATCCAAAAATTAATTTTGCTTCTGGTAAAAAAAAAAAAATCCTTCCTTTCCCAGTGTGATAGCCTAATCTAGTATGCAGTTTTCAGAGTGTCGGCTCTCTAGCAGGAGGAGAATGCATGTGATTTAAAAGTAGAAATAAAGAGCACACTCTACAATTACTGCTTTTTGCTCTCTTTCCCTGTTTGATCTTTGATATGTTCTTGTTTACTTAATTTTGGATGTTCATTGTACAATACTATAAACCCACTGCTTATCCAGTTTTTATTATCAGTATTGTCTGTTGTTCACAACATTTCTGCATGGAATGTTACAGTTATGTTTTGTGATTTTTTTCATACCTGTTATCTTTTCCCAAAGTTTCCTTTTGCCCCCCTTTGCTAGATCTCTTTCTTCAGCATTCTATCCTCTTGGTCTAGTCTGGATAGGTTATTCTCTAGTGTTCTTGCCATGCTAGAACTTTTCTTGCCTATTCTGGTTTGGGGATTGTATTTGAATGAGAATTTGCTAATGCGAATGCAACTACAATGAGGAAGTATTAATATTTTAAAGGCAATATTAAATTATTAATATATACTGGTTATATGGCCTAGATTTGCCAGTCTGTGAGGTCACATAAAATGAGGTCACATTTGTTCCAGATGCCCAAATTATTACAGCTCCCAACTTCACAGTCTGAATGCAGGATCTCTGCATCACTGTAACGTACCCTCTGAGTTTTCCTGGGGTTTTTAGAAGTGCCCTCATATCTATCTGTTGGTTATTATGAGGCATTTACGAGGCTTTCCTTTTGCTGCTCTAGTTTCCTGGTTATTGCCTTGGAATATATTTAAAGGCCACTGCTCCTGTTACTCCCCATAAGGCACATTATTTGCCCTAAATGTAATCTTTCAATGTTACCACTTCCAAGAATACCCAAAGAGTACTAGGTTTTATAGGGAAGGGGGCTCCATCAATGTGAATGATCATCTAAAACTGCATTTACTTTCCTACACTCCTGTAAGTCCAGAATCTCACAAAACCTCTCAAAAAGAAATACTGCTTAGCTTTTATCTTTTGTGATTTCCTTCTTAAATCTTCTCATCACTTTTACCTCCAAACCACTAAAAACCAATAGCCATAATGAACAACCAAGCATCTGCTTCCGTAGAGTCAACACACAACTTGGAAGACTTGGACGCACAGCTGCTCCACCACGTAAATTGTGATCAACCAAAATGTTTGCCATTTTTCTCCTAGTAATTTTTTTTAAAACCAGAGAAGCATATTTAAAGTGAGATGCTATCTCCACTCTAGGGACAAAAAACTACTTGCAATCACTAAATGACATCTCTCTACTTAGATTAAAGAATATTTTTAAAACTTTAGGGTTTAATCTCAATCCAAGAATTTTGTTGCAAAAATTAAGTGTTTCAAAGTCCAAATTTACAACTTGGAAGCATATAGAAATATCTGAAAGGGTTTTTTTTATAAAAAGGAATACAAATATTAAATATTTCACTCTTCATTAAAAATTCAACTGGACTTTGGTCTAAAATTTGCTTAACTTTATGAGTTAAGGTTTTCAAAGAATAGTTAAAGGTAAAGTTATTGTCAATTAAGAGATCTATCAAATCACAACAGAGGAAAGACTTTTTTCTTAAGAAATTAAAAAAAAATGTAAATAGCAAACATGCTGATCTATTACATCAAATGATGCCACATAATTATAGGAAGAAATATCAAAGCATGTTGTTGTTGTTGGTTTTATGTGCCATTGAGTCTCGTGTGACTCATAGGGATCCTATATGTACAATAGCCCTAAAACCTGCTCTATCCTGTGACAATCTTATTTCTCTGACACACCTACCCCATTACCCCAGTCACTGAATCAATCTATCTCATAGAGGGTCTTCCTCTCCTGCGCTGTCCCTCTACCCTCCCAAGGATGACGTCCTTCTCCAAGGACTGGTCCCTCCTTGCAACATTGTCCAAAGTATGTCAGACGAAGCTTCAGAATCCTTGCGTCCAAGGAACAGACCAGTTTAACCCTCTCTAGGTGGAATCTATTCGTTTTTGTAGCAGTCCATGGTATATTCAATTTTCTACTCCAAACACCACAGCTCAAAGGCATCAATTCTCCTCAATCATCCCAAGTCGTTGTCCAGCTTTCTGATGCATAGCAAGTGACTGAAAAGACCATGGCCTGTATCAGGTGCACCTTAGTCACAAGACTGACATCGTTGCACTCCAGTACTTTGGAGAGATCTCTAACAGCAGACTTTCTCATCACAATACGTCTTTTAATTTCCTGGCTGCTGGTGCCAAAAATGTTGATTGTGGAGCTAAGAAAACTAAAGCTGTGGACAATTTCAAACTCTTCACCATCTATCATGATGCTGCCAATCAACCCAGTGATGAGAATCACTGTTTTCTTGATACAGAGTTTCAATCCATACTGAAGGCTGCAGTAGGATCCAAAAATTCTTGTCGTCTTTCCATACATACCTGTCCAAGAAATTATCATCCAAACCGAAAGGAAACACTACATGGTTTAAAACAAAAAAAAGTGTGCATCAGGGTTGTATTCTTTCTCTATACCCATTCAATTTGTATGCTGAGAAAATACTTTGAGAAGTTGGATTTTATGAAAAAGAATATGCAGTCAGAATTGGTTAGAGGAAGACATAAATAACCTGCAGTATGCAGATGATACAATCTTTCTTGCTTAAAATAAAGAGGGCTTGAAACACTTACTATAGAAGATCAAAGATTATAGCCTTCAACATAGATTATATTTCAACATCAAGAAAGCAAAAATCCTCACCATTAGCCTAATATGTAATATCACAATAGGTGGAAAAGTACTTAGAAGTTGTCAAGGATTGCATCTTGCCTGTGTCCACAATCATCACCATTTACACCAGTGTCAAGAAATCAAAATGTGTATTGCATTGAGAAAGTCTGCTGCCAAGGACCTCTTTAAGGTGTTAAAGAGCTATGATGTCATTTTAAGACTAAGGTGCATCTGATTCAAGTCATGGTCTTTTCAATTACTTTTTATGCGTTGGACAGTGACTAAGGATGACAGAAGAAGAATCAATGTTGCTGAGTTGTGTTATTAGAGAAGAGTACTGAATATCCCATAGACTGTCAAAACAACAAACAAATATGACTTGGAGAAAGTGCAGCATGGGCGCTTCTTAGAGGCAAAGATGGTAACGGATGGTCTCACTTATTTTGGGCATGTTGTTAGGAGCAGTCTGTCCTTGGAAAAGGACATCATGCTTGGAAAGGTGGAATATTAGTGAAAGAAAAGAAGACTCTCAACAAAAAGGATTGACACAGTATCTGTAACAATGAACTCAAGTATACCTGAGATAACAAGAATAGCACAGGATAGGGAAGGTTCAGTTACATTGTTCATAGCTTGGCTGTGAGTCATAGTCGACTCAGTAGCATCTAGCAATGTCCACTTGTCCAGGTCATTTAGGCACTGCAGTTATCTCTCTTTAATGTTCAGTGACCTCTATTGAGTGGATGAGGATGATTTGATTTGCAATTTGTCCAACGAGGAAGGAGTGGAGGCAGAATGTTATCCCATATCTATTTCACTCCAAAACTGGTGGCTCTTTCTGGCTCACCACATTAGCACCTGTCAATTTGGTTGGGTTCAGTGATACTGGAGGATCCTTCTTGTACAAAGAAGAAGGACTGAACTGTGGAAATACTCAATCAAGTGAATTATGTAGGGTTTCTTTCCCATGCACAATGGCTCCTTGCTGTCACACACACACTATGCTGAAGGAGGTGAAAGAGGGCTGGAATTAGGCTCCTATGCACACAAAACAAATCTCAAATTACATTGTTCTCCTTTCTAGTGATTTTTTTCTTCAAATCTCCTCTCTTTATTTTATTTTTTTTTTTAGTTTTGATTCATATGAACATTTAGAGAGCAAATTAGTTTTCCATTAAAAAATTAATATACTTTTATTTGGGAAATTTCAATACTCATAATGTAACAACATTCTTCCTGTTTACACCCTGTTTTTATGATTTCCATTAATATTTCTTGCATATTTCTTCTTATTTTGAGCTTTATCAGTAGGAGAATGCTTCTCTTTTGAGCTAGTGTGATTCACCCCATTTTTGGAAAAAGACGAAGTAACTGGGTGCTGATATAGCCTTATACTTCTCATAAGTTATGTGGATAACAGTCCTGGCTTACCTTTCCTATGACATCTGTCAACAGTTTGAGGGCCAGAGGATCATGAACTAAGGAGTCTGTATAAAAGGACCCTAGGTATTTCTTTGGGTTGATTGGATTGTCTTGAGCACACAAGTCTGGGCGCATGTTGAATCCATGGGAGATTCTCCCCAAGGTGAAGGGGAAGGCACCACCTGCAAGGAAAAGCCACACCTGAGAGTTGGTATTGATCAGAAAGAATTCCATTAAGTCCCAATGTTGGATACAAGGAGACGTTCCTGTAGCCAATTAAGGATCGCTGGAGTAGAAGGACCTCTGGGTAAGATGCTGGACAAGACAGACAGCAGTCCAGATCCTCTTCACCCAGGACATGAGAAAACAAAGCTAACAAAATGGATTATAATCATAGAACCATGAGTTTAGAAAGAAAAGACAAAGAGGTATTTAAAACACTGACTGAAGGAAGAAATAGCAATGAATAAGGAGACACAGAACCATAAACAGCATAGTTCAGTCTTATTGAATAGCTGTCTGCTTGACAGGGCAATCTGGAACATACTTGCTGTCAATCGGGAACTGTGTGCTAGCTTCTCTTGTCCCCTTTGCCCTTCTAGAGGTCAGGGGAGTGACTTCCTCCTGCCACCAAGTGTCTGGTAACAGTGCCTAGGCTCACCTCAGCGCTGTCTGATTTTTTCCAGGCTTGTACCACTTTGTATCTGGCATCAGGAGCACGTACAATGCTAAATGCATCTAGAGACATTTCCAGGAGCTGGAGGGCTGTGACCATGCCTTGTCTGCAGTGAGCCCCCAGATTAGTGAGGCACCACTTCTGATTGAGGCCCTTGCCTTTCATCAAGCATCCTTGACTGGCATATTTGCACCATCCATTGAGTGTGCAACACTTGGGGATTTCATTTTGGCACTTCAGTTTGGGATTTCAGTTTCTCTTCACACCAGCCACCTCTGACTGGGTACCCTGCCTGTGCCTATTCCCTAGACTGGCAAAGATAACATCCTTAAACAGTTGGAGTAACCTGGACTCTTCCGAGGCCAGCATAAACTCTGTTCCAGGCTAGGAGTGCCAGTGCTCAACATCTCCTAGATCAGCAGAGGTACTACTGGTATCCTAACTGACAACTTGGGGCCTCAACCCCTTCTCAGAAAAGAAGAAACTCTGACCTGCCTGGGCCCTTTAATGCCAAGGTTCTGTTGGGTTGGCATACATACTGTCTTGGGCCAGACACCTTCTCTCCACTCACCACAGCAGTGAGAAGTGCATCAGTGAGGTGTCTAGCCCAGCCCTTTCATGATTCTGCCTTTTTCTCCCCTCTCATTTTTTATTTCCCATGGCTTTTATATTCTTATTTGCTTTTCTGTTTCATATTTTACTCTTCTTCCTCTCCCTCATACCTTGGTATCTCTTCCATCTTTATTCATTTCCCTTGTTGGATCTCACCCCCACTCTTTCTCTCATCTCTTTTCTCTCCTTTTTTACCTTCTGTTCTTATCTCCTTCATTTTGCATCACTCTCAAGACACATAAAAAGAAAATTTTCTAAAATTAAAGACAAAGGAAAAACTGAAAGCAGATTAGGGAAAAACCAAAACTGACTTACAAAACAGAACCAGTAAGATGAAACTCTGATTTCTCAGCATAATCTATACAGTGAAGAAAGTAATGAGATGACAAATTTTTAGAAACTCTTGTCTTCTTTAAACTAACAGAGGTAGAAAACCTGAATAGATCTATTACAAAAGAAGACATTAACAGGAAATAAAAACTATCCCAACAAAAAAAAAGTCCTGGTCTAGAAGACGTCACTAGTGAATTCTACCAAACAAGTATTCAGAGAACTTACACCAGTTCTATTCAGATTCTTTCAGAAAATGGAAAAAGATGACATCATTCTATAAAACAGGCATAATTCTGATATCAGAACCAGGCAAAGCATAATTAAAAAAAATTATAAACCCATATTCCCCAGGAACATTGATGCAAAAATTCTCAAAAAAATCTTATCCAACTGAATCCAACACTATATCTGAAAAGTTATTAATCATTATCAAGTAACATTCATACCAGATATGCAAAGATGGTTTGGCAATAGAGAGATAATCAGTGTCATTTATCACACTAGTAAAACAAAAGACTGGAACCATGTGCACATCTCAGGTAATGAAGAAAAGTCCTCTGACAAAATTTAACACTCTTTTCTTATAAAAACGCTTGATAAAATAAGAATAGAGGGAAAAATCTTCAACATAATTAAAGGCATATATGCCAAACAAATGGCCAAACCTTACTTTCAATGGAGAGGATTCAAAATGCTTGCTGCAGAAGATCAAAGACTACAGCCTTCAATAAGAATTGCATTTCCAGGTCAAGAAAACAAAAATTCTCACTACTGGATCCACAGGCAACATCATGATGGATAGAGAAAAAGACTGAAACTACAAATGACTTTATTTTACTTGGATACATAATCAATACACTTTATACTAGCAGTCAGGAGGTCAGGAGACATAATTACACTGGGAATCTTGCAGTTAGGGACCTCTCCAAATTATTAAGAGGCATGATGTTAGTTTGAGGATGAAAGTACATCTTATTCAGGCCATAGTATTTTAAATCACTTCCTGAAAGCTGGAACGTGAATAAGTATGACAGAATTAATATCTTTGAACTGTGGTATTGGAAAAGATTACTGAATAGCCCAGGGACTGACAAAAGAACAAACAGATATGTCTCGGGGGAAAGTGCAACCAGAGTATTTCTTAGAGGTAAAAATGGTAAAGCATCATCTTTCATACTTTGGGCATGTTGCTAGGAGATGCTATTCCTTCGAGAGGGACATCATGCTCGGAAAAGTGGGGAGGGATAGCAAAGGACAGGAAGATCTTCAATCAAGTGGATTGACACAGTGACTGCAGCAATGAGCTCAACTGTGTCAGAGACTGTGAGAACGGCACAGGACAGGACAGGGTGTCTAAGAGTCGTATTCAACACAACAGCACCTGATAATAACAACCACCTTGGGCTGGGAGTGAAACTCATTACCCCCCAGGCACTGGAGTTCTTGATTTGAATAATGACTTAAAAAACCAAAAAAGTAAACTCCCTGCCATTGGACCGTTAAGACTCACAGTAACCCTCCACTGAATTTCCAAATCTTTATGGAAGGAGACTGCCCACTTTCTCCTGAATGGTGACTTGATGTTGTTATGTGTCATTGAGTTGCCTGCAACTCAAAGTGACCCTATGTATAATATCTCTGAACACTGCCCTGGCCTGAGCTATTCTCACTGACTCAAATACACCTACTTCCAGTACCCCAATGATTGTGGCTATCCATCTCATCTGGGATCTTCCTCTTTTGTGCTGTCCCTCCACCGTTCCAAGCATGATGTCCTCCAAGAACTGGTCCATCCTGGCCATGTGTGAGATGGAGCTTCAAAATCCTAGCCTCCAAGGAGAAACTTAGTTTCACCCTCTCCAAGACAGATCTATTTATTCTCTTTGCAGTCCATGGCATGTATGTTCAAGAGTCTTCTCCAGCACTAAAACACAAAAGTATCAGTTCTTCTGACATCCTTAGTAATATTTCTGCTCTCTGATACATAGCAAGTAATTGTAAAGACCATGGCCTGATCAGGCGCATCTTAATCTCAGGAGTAACATCATTGCTCTTTGGCACTTTGGAGAAGTCTCTGACAGCAGATTTCCCCAATGCAATTTGTCTTTTGATTTTCTGACTGCTGTAAAAAATGTTGATTGTAGATCTGAGCAAGCTGAAATGATAACCTCAAGCTCTTCTCCATTTATCATGATGCTGCCAATTGACCAAATGGTGAGAATATTTGTCTTTTTGATGTTGAGCTTCAATCCATATTGAAGACTACAGTCCTTGACCTTTTGCAAGTGTCTAGTGAATTAAAAATGCCGATCTTTTGATTAACAGCTCAAGAAGTTGCACATTATGCGACCAGGTTCCACAAAAGAGGATTTTCAAATGCTGGGAGAAGAATCAGAAGAAATGGCATTAGTTAATTTGTCTAGAAATGCAGTCATAAGGATTTTATCCTTAAGAGAGAAGACAAGTGTGTATAGATAATTGGTCAAGAATTTATAGCACAGTATGGTTATAACAACAAAATATAGACATCTTAGTGAGAACATATCTAAAAATGCATTGTCATCCATGAAGTCATAAAAATAATGGTATTAATAATAGATTATTGACATGGAAGGGTGTTTTTTTTGTATGGTGGCTAGATAATAGTATATATAGTTGGATTGTGTGTGTATGTCCAAGAGATACAAACTTGTTTGCCTTTAGGAACTAGGCATGCAGTGAAAATGAATGACATAATCTTATCTGTAAACAATATAAATGGTAAGAATTGTGGCAAATGGAAAAGTTTATGACCTGATTAAAGGGATTTTAAATAAAAGCAGAACAAAACTTTTGCCAAGCAAGTAAGCTTAGCCTGTGAACATGTAATCTGATCCTTGGATTATCATCCTCTTTATGACTCAAATGATGACTGGAAGAGCAGGATCTTACCTCCATGTGCAAAACACACTTTCAGTTTAGGGAACTTTGCAAACACTCCACCCATAATCATAGAGCAAATGGCTGTGGTGGTCTCAGCTGGCATTCCTGAAAAAGAGTCAAAGGGTACAGGACTTGTCATGCAGAACAAGAAGCTCCTCAGTGGCACTGATACATGAGAAAGGAAGCTGTGCATGATTGTCAGTGTGAGGATCCCTGTGGCTCAGTCAGGGTCCTCTGGGCCCCAGCATGGTTTGTACACATGTCACTATTTGGCCAAACAGAACATCTAATATACTATTTTGTACCTGCACATAGAACTGTCTAATGGCTAGAAGACGGGTCAGTCAGATGACCTGTGTTTGGTTTTCAGTTCTGGATATAGTGCTTCAAGTAAAGTGCATGGATTCTGGGCTGAGCCATAGCATCTCCTGCTTTTTGGCCTTTAACATTTAGCTAATGTCTCTGAACTTGGTTTTCTCTATCTGTAAAGTGGATAAATGTTACCCATCTTGCAAAACTGCTATAGAGATCTGCAAGATGATGTCAGTAACGTTCCTGGCTAGAACTTTATGTTGGAGAGATATTTAACAAATATAAGCTACCTCTCTGTGCCTTTGCCCCCTCATCTGTAAAATGGTGCTAACAATGGTTCATTCTTACCAATGAATTGTTTAGAGGATACAGTGGACAGCCCTGACACTTAATAAATATAAAAGTATCATTTCTACAAAATTTTTGCCACCGCTTAGGGTTGTGGTTGAAAAGAATGGAATTAAAATAACTTGTTAAAGCACCTTCTTTTTGCCTCCAAAAACAAGCAATTGGTTGAATTCTAATGTCTTTACCTCCATGGAGCCAGTCTTGTTTCCAAGACCACAGCATTTCTGCATCTCAGACTGTGACTCAAGCACTTCCACCTAATCTTCGCTGAAGTCCTGTGCTTTCTGGGAAACTCTTCCCCTCTAGCTACTGAATGAGGCCTTCACTTGATGGTCATTCTTCATCTGTCTATCACTGTTCTACAAGCGGAAGTCTCTTTGATTCCCTGGCCACCTGATAAGACTCCTGAAAATTTTGAAAGCTGGATAGATCCGTATTCTTTTGTGAGTGTCTATGGGAAAAGTTTTCTGAAGACAGAGTACACGCCATTACTTTCTTCTAGTCCTGTTATTCCGTTTTCTGTTAACTACTTGGATTGTTGTTGTTAGGTGCCATCAAGTCAAGCATGACTCATGACAACCCTATGAACAAAAGAGCTGAATCCTGTTCTATCCTGTGCTATCCTCACACTTCCTGACACACAAGAGCCCATTGCAGCAGTCACCATGTCAATCCACCTGGTTGAGGGTCTTCTTTTCCTTTGAAAAACAGCCTCTTGGTTCAAGGACAGGTTCTGCAGGAGCACAATCAAGTTCTCTCGGACTCCCATTCTTCTCAGTGTAAACCATGACTTATTATGAGCAATACCTTCAAATGCCTTTGCATAGTCTCTTACTTTCAGCCAGGATCTATCTAAAAGCATCAATGATATCTGTAGTACCACAGCCTCTTCTAAATTCTGCTTGAGCTTCTGGCAATTCCCTATCTTTGCATGTTCTGTCTATTTTTGAATGCTCTTCAGCAGTATTTTGCTTGCATTTGAAAGTAATGATGTTGTTTGATAGTTTCTACATTCAGTTGTATCATCTTTCTTGGAAACGGGAACAAATATGGACCTCTAGGCCATAAAAACTAGGCCAGGGGCTGACTTTGGGTCAGATCATCAATTACTCATATTCAAGTTCAAATTGAAGCCAAAGAAAATGAAATTAAGTCCACAGGAACCAAGATATGATCTTGAATCAATTCCATCTGATCATCTTAAGACTAAATTTGAGGTATTGTATACAATGATTGAAGACCAGATTAGTTGTGGGATGATATGAAGGATATCATCCATGAAGAAAGCAAAAGGTCATTACAAAAAAAAAGGGGAGAAAGGAAAAATAGAAACAGATGTCAGAAGAGACTCTAAAGATTGCACTTGAGCATCAAGAAGCTATGACAAAAAACATATCAATGTGAAAGAGCTGAATAGAAGATATCAAAGGGCAGTTTGAGAAGACAAGACCAAATATTATAACAGAATGTGCAGAGAGCTGGAATTTGAGAATAAAAAGGGAACAACTTGCTCTGCATTTCTCAAGCTGAAATAAACAAATTTAAGCCTCATGCAGCAATATTGAAAGACACAATGGGAAATACATTGAGTGACCCAGAACGCATCAAAAGAAGATGGAGGGGAATATACAGAATCACTGTACCAGAGAGATTTGATTGACACTGAAAATTTCCAAGAAGTACCATATAAACAGGACTCAATGGTAATGAAAGAAGAAGTAGAAGCTGCATTGAATGCATTGGCAAAATATAAGGCCTGGTGAGTCGATGAGATACCAATTGACTGTTTCAGTTAACAGATGCAGCCTTGAATGCGCTCACCAGTCTATGCCAGGAAATCTGGAGGATGGCTGTCTGGCCAATGGATCAGAAAAGGTTCATTTTGTTCTCATTCTCAAGAAAGGTGATCCAACTACATGGATTATTAACACCAGAATTCATTATCCAAAAAAGCATTGGAAATAGAATCTTTATAAAGTAAATTTGATCCTGGCCCTTCTCTGTCTGAAATACTCTAATAAAATGCAATGTACTTCACCACCCATAAAATCCTACATAATTTGTCTATGCTTTCCTCGCTACCTTCATACCACTCTGCCCTCATGCCACCTTTTCGTTCACTCAGCAATATTTATTGAACCAGTAGACAAGGGAAGCAAGGTTTCCAACTAAAAAACTTATATTCTAACTGGGTAAGTTGAATAATATAATGGAAGTACTGTTGTTGTTGTCGATTGGCTTCAAGTCGAGCATGACTCAGAGTGACCCTATGAACAAAGGGTCTGAAGCCTCTCTACAGATATCAACATTTTTCAAAGTTCATAGAGTTTCCTGCATGTTATTTAGGATGTGCATGCCACTCCTGCTTCTAGGAATATCATAAAGTAGGGCACTGTGAAATCAAGTGATATGGGTGGTCAGGAATGCTAATCTGAGGAGGTGACTTCAAAATGCTGACCTGAATGACAAGAAGTATCAAACCAAACCCATTGCCATTAAATCAACTGGATTTATGGTGACCTTGTGTGTTTCAGGGTAGAACTGTGCTCCAGAGGGTTTTCAATGGCTGCAATATTTAAGAAGTTGGTTACCAGGCACAGATGCCCTCTTTCTGGGTTTCAGGCACTACTGGGTGGGTTTAAGGCAGAGATCTGTAATGAAGTCGGTGTTGGCATCAGAGTAGGAAGTTGTAACAAATAGAAAGTTGGGCCATATCCAATTCTACTGGCATATGACAACTGAACTGTGCACATGCCTGACAGCCATTAGAACTAACTTCACTGTAACGACACTGATGTAAACATCACTGTAGTATTTTTTTCAATGTATCTGGAACATTGCTTCTTCCTAGGAGGTGGTAACAGGAAAATGCATGCAGGGATTATGGGGGTGGGGTGGGGAAATCTCAAATTATGTGAACAGATTTCAAGCATTTGATCAAAAATAATGCAATTCCTCAGCAACAATACCAAAGTTCACCAGGGCAGCAAACAACAAATGCTGGGGAGGTTGTGGAGAGATTGGAACTCTTCTTTACTGCTGGTGAAAATGTAAAATGGTACAGCCACTTTGAAAGGTGGTCTGGCACTTTCTCAAAAAGTTAGAAATAAACCTATCATTGGAACCAGCAATTCCACTACTGGGAATATACCCCAGACAAACCAGAGTCATGACTCAAACAAATGCATGCACACCCATGTTTTTTGCTGCATAACTTATAATAGCAAAGAGATGGAAGCAACCCAAGTGCCCATCAATGAATGGATAAAAACCTATGGTACATTCACACAATGGAATATTGGGCAGCATGAAAAACAATGAACTCTTAAAACATTACACAACATGGTGGAGACATTATGTTGAGTGAAATATCTCATTCACAAAAGGACAAAAACTTTGTAACACCTCTGTTAAAAAATAGGATGATAAAAAAAGTAGGACAGATGTGGGAGGGTTTGGGAGAGAATGGGGAGAAAGTGGATAGATAATGAACACTATAATAGAACAGATGAGGAGAAGAACTGAAAGGGATATATGATTAGGCATTACATGCATGACAACAGTCTGGAACAAGGAATGTCTTGCGGGGTAGGCTGGGGAAGAAGAAATTGTGCAATAATGAATAAAAAAATATGATAGACAAGAGCACTGGGAAAATGGACCATATATGACAAGAACAGTGAATTTAGAGTTTGTTATGCTGGTTTGGAGCAGCTCTTAGACCACAGCAACTGTAACAATGGGTTACACACAGCAGACATTGTGAGAACAGCAAGGAGCAGGCAGGGTTGTATGTAGAGTCCCTGTGAGCCAACCCCATGGCAGCTGATGACAACACAGATCCAGTCAAGGAGGACTGGCAGAACAGGACTGAATGGATTTTCAAGAAGCAAGTACTGAGGCAGAAAATAATGAAGAGGAGGAAGAAAAGACATATAAATATTTTAGTGCAAGGATTAGAGCACATTTTTTGCCTAAGCTGAATCAGGGTCTTCAGTTGGTTGAATAGATGGACTTAATTAGTGACCACTTTGTTAAAGTTGATAAGCAGATTCTGGGAGTAGTGAGTGAGACAGTGCCATGATATATATGAAGAAGAGAGATAGAAATAGAGAGAGGGAGAGAAAGAGAGAGAGGGAGAGGGAGAAGTAGAGGGAGAGGGAGAGGCAGAGGGAGAAGTAGAGGGAGAGAGAGACAAAGAAAGAAGCAAGAGGAGAGGGAGGAAAGGACCCTACAGACAGCTCTTACTGATGTTCTGTGCAGAAACTCTGTCCTCACTCCCAAGGATAATCTAGATAGATGATCCAGAATTTTCCACAAGTGATATTGTTACTGCAACTGACAAAAACCAACTCTTCCTTGTTTTTATGATTTTCTATTTTTATATATGTCCTAAAACACGCTTATAAATCTATATGTGATCATTTCCAATCCACAGGGGCAAATAAAGATACTGATTATATAGTTACATAATAATAATGAAAACATTTTTTAAAAAGTGGTATTTATCTTACGTTAGAACCAGACTACACATCCTGCTTCCTCTCACAGGGCTTTCATGGAATCTCACTAAGGCACCTGCCCATCAACTGGGCTTCAGCCTCTGCTCCAGTTCCCTACCCGCCTAAAGCTAGCATGTTTGTGTTATATCGGTTGGTTGTCTACCACCTTTCTTTTAACCAAAATATATGCTCTCTTATTTTTATATCCTCAGTGCCCAGAATAGGGCCTGGCATGCTCAATGAGTGAAAGATGAAATGACCTTTAAATAAATACTGTCGTCTGTCCTCTTTTTCACACATACAAAAAGGAATAAAATTTGTGGGACTTCTCAAAGTTGTGTAAACTAGGCTGAGATTTTCTTTGAAGCTGGACAGCATTAGATTACCTCTTCCTACTATTTCTTACTTCCAAGAATTTGAGGTTGGGTTGAAAGTTGCCATATTAATTACATTCATTTCCATCATGAAATCCCAGGAACATAAAATGTCAGAGTACAGTGAGGCTTGTGAAGAAATCCAGACCAGCTCCCTCCTTCTCAGGTGAGGGGAAGTCGGCCTTAGGTAATAAAAGGGCTTGCCACAGACAACAGTGGAACTGACACTAGGTAGAAAAGAGTTAGTTTTTTTAGGTCAATAAATTATATTGCCTCTTTTAATCCAATTCATGGTGTTGCTATTTTGGTGATTTGTTCTAATTCAGTTGAGGAGAGTATGGATAATGTTCCCATAGAGAAAATATAACTTTTTTCATTTGGGGGCTCGATCATAGTTGACTTGTTCTAGAACTATCTACAGATTTCCCCATCTATTCTCTGTCTTTTCAAAATCACCAGGACTGGCAGGAATAAATTAGAGAGGTCACATAGAAGTTTTGCCTCTTTCCCTTGTCTTCTTATGGATCCATGAATGAATGAATAGGACAAAGGGCAGAAGGGAGAGACAAACAATGTGAAAATGAAAAGCCTGGGTCATCTACAATCTGGTCCTCAGATCTCTGGTTGGTGGAAGTTGTGCTACTTCTAGCTCTAGAGTTCTCGTTTATAAGAATAGATGCTATCATTAGCTTCTAAAAGAAAAATTCACTGGGCAGAATGGTTGCTTTTGTTCTGTTTTATTTTTGAGCCTTTTGGGGAGGCTGAGAGGTGAGAAGGTCCGAGAATGGAAGAGTGGGTATTGGTGTCAGACAGATCTGTGTTCAAATTCCATTTCCACTCTTTAACTTTGTGACATGGAGTCATTTGCCTAATCCCTGAGATGTAGCTTCTCCACTGATGGTGATTATAAAGGCAACAACACCTTTGAGTTTTGTATGGATACAATTAAAAGTAGATGTGGTTATGTAAACGGCACTTATCTGAGTAATAAATAATTATCACTCACAATCCTGTTAATTATTTATCATTTCTCTCTATGACTGCTGGTTGCAAAAACCCAAGAATTGGTTCTCTGTTCCTGGAGCCCAAGTAGACACAAACCTACAAGCCAAGGGAGCCAATATTTGGCCATCCGTCCATCCATCTGCATGTCCCAGGGATGCACAAACAGGGAGCAGCTGAGTCTTTCTGCTGCCTACAAAGAAACAATGAGAAAGAGCTGACCAGTGCCAACAAGACCCTGTCTTAGCAAACTTCTCCTTTCTGGGTTGAAATGGGTCTGAATACATAAACAACAACAACAACAACAACAACAAAATTTACAATTGTTTCATTATCCTTATAAAAGAAGTCATTAACACAACTGCTACTGTTTAGGGAGCTCTGGTGGTCTGGCGGTAAGAAGCTGTGCTGCAATCTTGAAAGCACATAGTTCAAATCCACTAGCTGCTCCAATGGAAAAGGATGGGCAATCTCCTCCCATGTGACTAACTGCCTCTGAAAACCCGCCGGAGGGTCAGCTATGGGTTGTTTCCAACTTGATGACATACAACAACAACTGTTTACAAAAGGGGGGGGAATCCCAGTTTTAGAATTCATAAAGAAGATAAGTATATTTACCACTGGCATTTTATATTGATGGATTTGATATATTGATTGACAAAACAATTCACAAGAAGCATCCAGCAGTCAAGGACTTTGGTTGAAAGCAAAATGCTCCAGGACCAACCCTTCACCTCTAATAGAGAGGAATTTCCCTGCTGGGTCTGAGTTGGTCCACTCCCTTGGCAGGACACTGACTGTCTCCTTGGAGTCAGGCCTGAGTGTTTGCTACTTCCCCTCACTTGGAAACTCAAGCATACAGAGAAGTGATGGGCAGGGAGGTAGGGGGGCTCAAGACTAGTGGTGACCTGACCTGACCCAAGTTGGCTGGCCACTCAGAGACAGTGTGGAATTTCTGGGATCCAAGGGCACTCACAAAGCCCTGGAGCCCAGCTGAGCCCCTGCAGTCTGCTGTGAATGAGATGACCTCAGCCAGGCAGGTACTGAGCTGAATGTCATGGGCAAATAAACTTTAGGGCCTAAGGAAATGGCAGTACCATTTGGATGGAATAAATTCTATTCAATATGTGGGTTAATTAAAAAAGTCCCCTCTGCAGGCATTTGAATCCAGATTCAAATGGAATTCCCTTTGAGCGTTTCCTCTCAAAAAATATTGGGATGTTAGAGTGACTCATCCTATCCTCACATAACTCAGCAAGGGAAATACTTGGGCCAGTCATACCGCTGCACTGTGATTCAGGTACATAAGTACTTTTAAAATGGAGAAAATTCTGGTGCAACAGAATTCTAGAAGTAGCAGGCAACAGACACATGGAAGGAAGGAAAGGTTTTGATGAGTTCTAGGGAGGCGGAGGGATAACAAGTATTAGAATGGAGAGGAGCAAATTGGGGTCTGATAGAAGATGGTGGACTGAAATATAATCTCAGTTTTCAAGCATTGTAAAGACTATGAAAATCATTATAATGTTAATGAAGAACTTACATTGCACAAGAACTGTTAAGAATTTTATACTTATTAGCTAGTGTAAGCTTTATAAGATGTAAAGTACTATTAATGCCAGTCTACAGAGAAGTAGCAAAGGCAGCTAGGAACCAAATCAATTCCTCAGGTCTTGTGACTGACAAATGGCCAAGCTGGGCTATCGACACTATGTCTGCCATATACCTGGACCTGAAAACTGAGCTGAGTGTGTTACAACAGGGCCCACACACCAAGAAGAGAGAGTTAGGACGTAAAGAGGACAGCCAGACCCTGTAAAGGAGGGATAGACCTTAAAACAAAGAACCAGATGGGCTCAGGAGAATCATTTGTATTATTATGTGTTATTGATGCTCACTTGGTTTGGTGGGGCACTGAGTATGGACGCAAGCTAGAGTAAGAGAGCTCTGGTGGCCTAGCGGGTGAAGAGTTGTAGTTGGTTTGAATCTATGAGCTAGCTACTCCACAGGAGAGAGATGGGTGATCTCCTTCTGTACTCTTTACAGCCTCTGAAAACCTGTTGGAGGGTCAGCTAGGAGTCAATGGCAGAGAGTTGTTGAGAGTATAGTGAGGCAGGCCAGCCTGCTAATTAAACAAATGTTCTGTCAGACCAGAATATCACAAACCAACTGAATCCAAGATGCTCTTCCTGAAGCGCTCCCAACAGCTTAGTTAGAATGATTGGTGGGTGGAGTTAGTCACACAAATGTGAAAATACCCATTTGGACACTAACTGGCTTCCTAAGCTCTTTAGAAAATTGTAAACCTGATTCCAGGGAATGAGAACATGACTTGCAACTGAAGTCTCATTCACATTGTGCTGAAACAACTTGGATGAACGAATAAACATATCCTCTTTGAAAGCACATAAAAGTTTCTAGAAAGCATTCACTGTGTCGTTTAAGCTATTACAGATGACAAACCTCAGGAAGGTCAATGTTTAGAGGAACACTAAATCTTTCAAGGGACTAAGAGACAATTTAGGTGGCTGTTCTGAACTTGTGGGCAGTCTCCATAGACACATACATGAAAAAGAGCAAACATACAAACGTGGGTAAGATTTACATGCAGTAAGAGCTCAATAAATATTAATAGATGAATTTAATTCATTAATAATTTGTTGTTGTTGTTGTTATGTGCCGTCGAGTCGTTTCTGACTCATAGCGACCCTATGCACAACAGCCCTAAACCCTGCTCTATCCTGCGCCAAC